AACCGATTGACGAATGAACTATCTTTTCTATACTTTCATTCGCCAAAATAAAAATAAAGGTAAATATTTGATTAAACTTTGATCAACAATAGCGTACTGTTATATGTGTACATAGAGACATTTTTATTTATGAAGTGTTTGTATGAATGTTTTTTTCTTTTGATTACATAACTGAACACTAACAAATCTAAACAGCGTCTTGTTGTTTATTTCACACTATGTACATTAGCATAGTTTGTATCTAACACAAATCAACTTTCTTCAATTCATTATAGTATATATTTTGATCAGTTTTAACACAGTAAATGTAATATATTTTATGCAAATTTATTCAAGTTAACAAAAACCAGTTATTATGTAACATACGTTAACATTCTCAATTGAATGTGCATATAAATATTTCATATAATTAACAATTTGATCGAACATCCTAGATAGTAAACATATCTTCCTTTTGTACTGGAGGCAAATGAGCTTTATAGGTGTCTACTTCCATGTATACAGCTTCGAGATGGTCAATGTTGATATTAACTTCTGTTTCGTTCTTATCGACTATCTCGTATTTAGCTTTACGACGATAAACTTTGAAGTGTCCTTCGTGTGCTATTTCAAGTGTTCGTTGTAATGTTTGTGACGTACAAGTATGTGTGTGCTATGTCGTGAATCATGTTAAACGAAAACAACAGTTGACCGCGGTTGAGTGGAAACAGGTTTAAACGAACGCATGCAGTCTGTAAACCTCCTCGTGTAGGAGTTTAGATCCATGTTTATTGAAGAAGATGAAGGATACACAAGCTTTACTGGGGTTTGGAGTGTCGCACAATGGATGCGTCCAACGTCAGCTTTCACTGCATTGCGAATACCAAGTCAATCTAGTGGAATGACGTTGGTCGATTGTGAAGTGTTTTTAGCTGAGAGTGAAGCTTTCAACTGTCGATGAAATTATTCCACTAACCGAGTCGCTGATGGGTGGTAGACTGTTGTTCAGAGTCTTGGGATTCCTATTACTGAAATAAGACAACGGAAACGTCCAGATTAAAACTGGCATTCACGGTTTGTATTGATAGTTAAAGGGCAGCCGAAGCTTGCTACCCACCGTTCAATGAAGGCACGAGCCACTGTTTCAACAGTAATATCCCTGATGAGTACTGTTCCTGGCCATAATGTGAAACGGCGCACACATTGAGAGGTGAGAGCATCCGTTTGAAGTATGGCAAAGGTCCTACCAAATCCAGATGAACATGTTCGGGAGTTGTGAAAGAGCCTGATGAACATTTGTTGTGTCTTTCCACCTTGGATTTCTGGCAGCTCTCTCATGTCCTTATTCATACCAGGCAAACAAAATCGTTTCATGATGAGGTCGATGGTTTCTTGAACACCTGACTGAGATAGCTTGTGAGACGTATTGAAAACGCTGAGTCAATGATGTTTAGGTAGGGTTGTACGATTCCTAAATGTAGTTGTGTCATATAGTGAAGTTCTCTCGCCTGTTTCCATCTGTTTGATTTGTGGTTTCAGGTTTGTTGAAGATAGCTTGTAGTGACTCACATTTATCACGAGAACACGACTGGTTTAATAAAAACGGTTATTATTATAACCAAGTGTACCAGTGACTGTTTTAATGTGCTTTTGTTTGACTGTGCTAATGACAGCTATTTTGTGCTTTCATTCCTTTACTTGCACTTTGATTGTAACTTCGCGCGAATTCGGTTACCTTCTGTAACCAAGGTTGTATCCTGGCACAATCTCGGTATCCTTTCGATGACACGAGATCGCCAGCAAATAAACATCGACTTGGTCCATTAATTGCCTTCTGGTATTTGGCTTCTCGGAGATTTTATGGGTTTCTTTGGTTACGTCCAACCTTCGCCTTCTGATTCGCTTGGGACGTGTTTCTTGGTAGCGGTGTTCATAGTTAATCTCAACTCGACGACACGCTACAAGCTCATGCTGAAGATCAATGTTTTTTTGAAGTTGAGTGGGTTTAAGAAGGTCGATACCTTGAAAATATTCCAAGTTATATATTATTTGCTTCAGAAATATATTCTTTATCCTGAGTGAACTGTCATATGTGGTCAAGTTGCCGATACTTTCAAGTGAACTACTTGCCTGAGAACGAGCTTAAAGGGAAGGTGAGAGGCATATTGTCGGTAAACAGTGTTAAATATCGGCCTTCAATAGGGCGTTGAAAGTGTCGTACGGTACAATACATGGCTAGGCGTTCCCCATCGAAAGTGCTTTACCTCGATTGAGTATCTTGCAATCGTCTCGAGACGAATGACAAAAACTGCCAGATGTTGCTTACCTATTGTTATAGGACTCATTTGATTACCTAGTCGGGTACATCTAATGCGATGAGCCGATGAGCCTCCAAAAATATAGGTGGTCCTGTAGTCGTGGTGTGACGCGGAACATTTCTAATTACACAAGATAGTTTCAGGTGCGTTTGGTGTAGTTCAATGTACCTGTTAGAGTATCCGTTGATTGAATGAGTTGATTGTGTGCCTTACTGTGACTGGAGATAATCTACAACCAGAAAAGGAAGTTATGCAAACAAATAATTTATTATTTCCATCTACTAACCTACGTCTATATTAAGGATTGGCAATAGAAACATCTGCAGCGATGAAAATTCAGTGAATGGGTTTGCGTAAACTCACACTAAGGTGCACACATTGCTAACAGTATGTAGGAATCGGTTCCTCATTTGCTGCATGTCAGTTCAAAAGTGCTTCACTCAATTGGTCGTTGGAATCCGCAGGATGACCGCTAACATCAGTGTTGACGAGATAGAAAACTTTCGTCAACACATACAGCTGTGTGTGCCGGCTACGGTCGCCGTAAATGCGTGCCGGCTGGGAAGTTTGCCTAAGAGATTTCGTGTTGGATGGTTTGAAGACTGGGTTTCCTGCAATTTCTAGAAGACCTACCACATTTATCGTGGTGCTCAAACCAATCAAGATAATCAGTCGCTCGTGGTCCAGTAACAGATCTTCCTCGTGACGAGCTTCTTAGAGGAGTTTGAGAGCGTGTACGATTACAATGAATATCGAGACAGCGTATGAGAGTTTGACAGTGGTCTGTGATGTCGTCTTGTGTCGTTTGAGAACTTTGTTTGATAGAATAAACTTCGACGTTGGGGGTTCTGGTAATTTCCAGAATCCGATCGGCAGATGTAGCCAGTCCGTCTACGACGTCAATCTGTAATCAGACAAGAATTGCATTCAATTGTTAGGGAAGCTTAGACAACAAGAGCTGTGTAAACAGGTCCTCATCAAATGTCCGTTGGCCATTGTCCTCACACATACGTGGAAACATTTCTGTCGCCGAGCCATGATGCGATTTAGTGCTGTGGAAGATTTGGTGCAAACCTTGTCAATCGGAGAAGTCTCAGCGTTAAAGCATAGCCTTCTCCAAAGTGTCATAAGGTTTCGAAACGTCACTAGTAAATATATTGAGCTTGGAGTACCTGTGGAACTCGCGCGGTAATGCCTTCACAACTGCGAAAAGTTGTGCACGTAGGTCTGTCACTCTGTGCTTGTAGAAGTCAGCTTCTGGGTAGTAGAACCGGACTTTTATATTGCCAGGTCAGGATGGAATTAGCTGAAGTGTTGGACATGAAAGAGGTTAAATCCTAAACAGCTTAGGTGTCTGTTCTGTCGTAAAGATATGATATGGCAGTGAACGAGAAAGAAAATACCTGAAAACATGAGAACAATATAACAGTCTGTAAAAATTAAAATTGAAAAATGGTATACAGTGTTCCAACGAGATACGGACTCACCGTTTGCGAATAGCTATGCTTCGTAACGTCATTCTCACCTCTAAAGTTGTCACAGGTATTCGTAGTTTGACAATTCCCTTACACGTAGCACCTTTATGGTTGAGAAATCTCATCCTTGTCAAATGAGCAATGAAGAGATTCGAAGATATATTATAAAGGCTACCGATTTCCATATATGCTTTTCGTCTAGGCATGGCTGGTGGTTGCAAGAGATGCGTAGTACGGTAAACGAACTCAAGATCTGGTGCGGATGCGTGACAGAGAGCCTTCAGCTAGATTTGTCCGATAAAACTGATGAGGTCAGCATCAGTGCCGAAGACTCACGAAATCAATTGTTTGTGGGAATAATTTTTCCTGCTACAAAGTTTGTGGTGGTCGGTATTCGATATAATCATTAAACTTCGTATACAGTTCGTCTTGATAACCGTTCTATATAACGTCCCAACGGTATATTAATCAGAAGACAAACACGAAGTTTTGATTACGTTTATTACGAGACCACACACATATATCCAAATGTACAGATGCGTTAAACAAGCATAGAAGAGTTGTGCCGAAAGGCAAGCAAACGAGCGAGAGCCAGAGCAAGAGCTAGACGAGAGTGTGTGAGTATGAATAACATGGACATATATATAGCATGTGAAATGAATGAGTAATCGAATCAAATAATCAGTTAGTAGTAAGACTGGCAGAGTGAATAGATGCGTAGACCGTAAGCAATATTCAAGCATACGTATTTCATACAAGCACAAAATAATAAGGGTACAATAAGTTGTTACAGTGCGGATGACTTTGTCCGCTAAATGAGTTAGCAAAAGGGCCTAACTGCGTTAGATGAGACTAAACTCATTTGCACGTGAGTCGCTATAAGTTGTCTCTACGGAATAATAAGCTGGGGGTGATGCTTATTTATTGGAAAAGCAAACCGAAGAATATCGAAGCGAATGAAAGGAAATAAGAGTGTCAATATGGACCCATGTTAATGATACTGGTGCAAAGCCTTGTTAGTTTCGGGATCGAGGCGACGATGGTGTTTACAATTTGCAGAAGATTCGCGAAACTGCGTAAACTGACGATTCACAAGAATGATTAGTGTCATCGGATTCGCCAGTACAGATCACCAATTAAAACACTATCAGTGTATTTCCAGGTGCAATAAGTGTATGTAATCTTACTTCAAAACATTTATCTCAACCGGTTTCGTTTGGCAGATATTGGACACTTGAGGCTTACAAAAATTTAAGAGGTGCGTAACAGTTAGGAGTGATTGAGTAGGGATATCTATTGCTTATGTTACAAAGTAACCGGAGTTATTTGTGTTTTTGGTCTGCTTTTCGTTTCAATGACACACTTACTTTGCCTGTAATCTGTCAAAGATTTTGTTTTTTTCACTCAGATGGACCCTTCTGTCATCGAAAACTTTTGCAGTATTACTGGGACGTCTGAAATGGAAGCCAAACATTTCTTAGAAGCTTTTGATTGGAATTGCGATGTAGGAATAGCGGAGTTTGAGCTGACCCTTTGTTTTAGGAGGCAGTCAAAGCATATTTCGATTCTGAGGATGGTGTTCATTCAAGCGATGTTTCTCATTTCGACCAAGGTACTGAACCACCGAGTAAAAGCAACAAGGAGCCATCAGTTTCCACATATAATAAACCACCTCACAGCAAGCCTAAAATAGCAACTCTGAGTACCCTGGAAAATGATAGGTAAGATTATATGTTGTCTTATTTATTTTGGTCAATTTAAACAAACATGTTTGTTTGAACATATCAGATAAATTATAGTCTCACCGTAATTTCCACTCCACTTTCGAGCTCCAAGTATCTGGTCACTTTTTTACAGTTGTTTTGAGTGCTTATTAGTGCTGCCTCAGCCCTAGCGCTAAGTGCGACATCAACGCCAGCAAAACTAGACGAAGATATCATAGTGTCCAAATAAACGCACGTGAGACAAGCTTTTTCAAGCGACAGATGGAAAGAGAATTTGTAGTACTTTACTAGATTCTTGAGTGCGGTTCTCAGACAGACAGTAGACATCGACGTTAAGACTTTCTAAAGACAGTCAACCCTATCTGCAGTTCGAACTGCATTAGTGTGGGAACGTTGAAGGAACCCATTTTTAATGGTGTACGTGGTTTCCAAAAGGCTGGTTCATAGTTCATTCAATCAGTGACTTAAGATCGTTTCGATAAAACGGGTCTTAATCGGTTTGAATAGCGTAAGGGGATTCCCTCTTTGTTTTAGATCCTACTACATATGTTTATTTGTACTGCTTAGCTTTGCCTTGTTATTTTTACTAACCTTGTTTGTTAAGTTCTTTTTCTTGTCCCGTGTTTTGAAGCACAAATCTGTGCCTTTTTTCTTTATTCTTGACAGTCAGCTGTGCAAACGTATTTGGAGGTACTTATTAATTTTCGCTCATGAAAATTGTTTCGCTTCTGCTGTCACTTGGAAATGCTCCCTTGTTGTCCTGTGGTATTAAAGTTTGGTAGTTAAATGCTGTAAAGAGGTTAAATAAGTACCACATTCGTCGACTTTATTAATTGTATCATTAAATTGAAATGATGGACCAATTACAGTTCCGCTTTGTTATTTTTTTATAAAGTGCTACTTGGTAGGATGAATGTGTCGGCCTTTACATAAAACTAGATAGGTCTTCTTGTATACCGACCAAATAAGTTTGTAAAATGGTCATTAATTCGTTTCAGTTAACCCTTTTTTATCAAGGACATTTAACTTATGTCATCAAAAAACAAGCTTTCTTCTGGGGTCCACAAGTTTATTTTTACTGATTATCATGAATGTAGCAATCCTGAGTTAGTCATATGACACGTGTTTGTTTACAATTTTGTCCCATAATCGAACTCCTTTCCACTAGTTTGCGGACACATTTAGTATCAACCTTTTACAGCACAGATTGTCGTTGGTTTCGTGTTAATCGTCTCCATTTGTCAAAACAAAATAATTCCGTAATGATAACGCTATTCCATTTTTCTTTGTTTAGTGATGATGAATCAGATAAGGGACAGGCATTTTATGTTGGCGGTTCGGAGACTGGAGGTGGCGGCCAACAAGTCCTTGGTCCTCCAAGACGTGATGGTAATAAGAGAACTCATGATCCTTCCCAAACTCCCGACGTTTTCATCCGTAATCTTTTTCAAGCTGCTAGAGGTAAAGGAGCAGAAGTGTTGGATACACACCAATACAATGAATACAAAAGTAAATCAAAAAAGCAATCGCCTTTTAGTGGAATTGGCTACAAGTAAGAAAAATTTCGGACAAAAATTATGCGCAATATCATAGTCAATTAATTTTCTTCTGATGTTAGATTTTCTTAATTTTCTCACTTATTATGGCTCATTGTCATTTCATGCAGTGTCTATACTTGCACCACAGTATTGATATTTTTAACGATGAGTTTGAATTGTGATGTGCTACGCGTCCCGCGTTGTATTACTAGTTGCTATCAAAACTTAGAATCAATAAATGAATTCAGGCAACATTGAGTCACCTGTTTTAGTAGGTACATAAACCGTTAAAGAATGCTCGATTCAGTATGCCAAATTATCAACGGTAAACTCTAAATCCTTACAACAAACTAGTATATGTTTATTCTATGCTTTTCAAATCAGCGTGGATAAAGTAAATTGTGAATCACTGGTCTAAAAGCATGACAAAGGTATTCAATCAGGGGCACAAAATGCTTCTCATTTACCACAGTGTGGACAACTATGTCGCTTCATCTCCAGTTATAAGGATGGTAAGACAACTGACCAATGTCATTAGCTCCTACACTGGGATGATCATAAACTTAAATTCGTTTACTTGATTACAAAGGGAACTGCATAAGTTACCGGCTGTGCTTTCCTTATTTAAAAACGTTGTTTATTAAGATTACACATGGTACATGAGATCAATTTAAAAGTTATCTGGTTTTCAACTAAGTATCAATAACAATCAATAATCCTACCCGAAGATTCATAATGTTTTTAGTCATCATTCCAGTTTTGACGAAAGAGCACAAGTTATGGAGAATACGTCTAGCAATGTTGAGATCAAATAAGTGTCACACAGAATCGGTCCCTGAATTCCCTGCTAAGTTTAAGGGTGGGGAAAATCCGCTATTCCTTCTCGACATCTCATATGCCGCTGCCTGGGAAGCCCTACCCACTATCTTCTTGTCCCCGGAGTGCTATTTTACGAAATAAAGAGGACAATATGCGAATATCCGAGGCTTAAACCGCATTGGTGGGTACGAAAGTTCCACCTGACGAATTTAGGAATCCCTAATTTCAAACTAATGGTACACATGGGATCTAGTTTCCCGATGAAACAAAAGGCGTTTGAACCTGTTTTGGTCATTGGCTACCATGGTAACGTGTTTGCTAACGTTATTCTACTGCCTTGTGGATTAGCTCTCTAGGTCAAGGGCTCGGTGTGTGGTTCCCCGAGGAGACTTCATGTTCCAATTTGGGCGCTCGGGTAATATCCCAACCCTCACACAAATAGAATAATAACTTCAACCAGAATAAATTACGCTTGCGTCAATCCTCATTCTCATAAATTATACTCATAACTATTCGGTTACGTTCGTCCTTCTTTTATATTGCATCACTTGTCTGTTCCTTCTTATTTCCACTTCATGAATTCATTTATTTTTCAGCTCATACAGCAGCTCGCCTATGTTGGAAATCCCGTTTTATCGAAACGATCTTAAGTCACTGATTGAATGAACTATGAACCAGCCTTTTGGAAACCACGTACACCATTAAAAATCGGTTCCTTCAACGTTCCCACACTAATGCAGTTCGAACTGCAGATAGGGTTGACTGTCTTTAGAAAGTCTTAACGTCGATGTCTACTGTCTGTCTGAGAACCGCACTCAAGAATCTAGTAAAGTACTACAAATTCGCTCTCCATCTGTCGCTTGAAAAAGCTTGTTTCACGTGCGTTTATCTGGACACTATGATATCTTCGTCTAGTTTTGCTGGCGTTGATGTCGCACTTAGCACTAGGGCTGAGGCAGCACAAATCCATTAGATCCCTATTCACAGTTGGTTATACGCTATGTGATTGGAAAACTCAATCAAAGTGAGTAGAGATTGTTGTGAGAAACTATGTCTTTTCGTTATCTTCGCCTACGCTTTGACACATTGTAGTCAAATGCTGTCAAGGATAAGTTTTACCACCGGTTAAGGGCGTTCAGCAGATATTATAGTACTAGTCGGAGACTTGAAGTGGATGTCGATCATCTAGGCGCAGAGGAGAGTCGTTTGGTTGACTTGATTGATTGCCGCTCCTTTTGGAGTATTTGTCTGAATTCTGATCATGCTCTTGTTTGCGCTAATCTTATCTTATGTTTCAATAACCAACAAATTCATTGTACTAAACGGATCGGTGTAAGCAAAATGACTGTATATTCTTTTGCCACTAAATATCAAACGAACCTAAGTTATGGGCTAGCTATCGACCCACCGGAATTTACGGATGAGTACTGACTATATTTGCATTACGCCATAAAAATGGAAAGTCGCTCGCGGATACGCGAAACGTCCCGCTTATAAGCATTGTGTTTCTACGGGCTCCTTACAACTCAGTGAGGCACGTCGGTTTACTCCGGGTAACTGTGAACCCAACGATAGCCGTGGATTGTTACGCGATTGACCTACACAAAGCTTGCGTAAGGACCAAAAAGCCTGGAGGTTGGAGCGTGCTAACTAGTTTGAAACAGCGACTGGATCTGGTTACTGCTGGAAGCTCATTCGACTCATCCGAGTCACTGGCTGCAAGGAGTCTTGTGTGAGTGAAACAATCTGTAAAGCTGACGGGATGCCAACCAATGACACCGACCAACATCTTGAACGATGGACAAAGTTTTTCGAGGCACAGTTCAGTGGGTCTGCTACTCTGGTGACATCGATCGAAATGTCCTGTCTTCTATGGTCGGTGACGACTGATCCACTTAAAGAGGTGGAAGTGCACAAGCAACCCCACAAGTTACCAGGCCCATATAACCATCCTGCAGCCCTTTTTAAAGATGATGACGACCTAATTAGGTGGCTGGCTGAGTTGTTTTCAAATTTCTGGTAATTTGAGAGTGTTTGAACGTCTTAAAATTAGTCGATAGTTGTTCTTATGCTTAAAAAGGGTTCACGTTGTTTCTGCAGTAACTATCGGGGGATAACTCTTTTTCCGGGTTTGTCTAAACTATTGACTTCCATCATAGTTTGTAGATTGTTCAAAACCGAGAAAAAATCGACTCACGAGGAGCAGGCGGATTTTCGTCTTTGTCGGGGATTTATTGGTCATATCTTCACCCTCCACCAAACGTTAGACCACCATCATACTTGTCACAGGCTAGCAATCATAGCATTTCTTGACTTTAGGGCGGCCTTCGATTTGTTGGTCAGGACTTTTCTCTAGGATTTTCAATTGAAGAAGGCTATCCCTGAGATGTTTATTAACATCTTGAAAACCCTATATACTAACACCTCAGGGAGTGTGTGGGCATATACCCACCTCTCTCTATTGTTTTATTTAGGCAGTAAGATTAAGAAGGGTTGTCCAATCTCATCATTCCTCTTCAACTTTGCCATCGTTGATATTTTGGAAATAGGTCTGGTCGAAGTAGGTTGTGCTGCAGAATGATTTTCGTACCTGGAGTATGCGGACGACGTTGTCTTACTGTGCAATGATACCCAAGCCATGCAATCCACACCTAGTCATTTTTGGTCCGTAGGTATGTCAGGCGTTTTGTACCTCCCAAGTGCAAAGTACATTTAAAGGACTTGCAGGACCCTGAACCAGCACTCACTCTTGGTAGTGAGCAGATAGAAGTAGTCGAGTTCATATATCTGGGTAGCTGTATAAGTGCCGGTGGAGGCGTAAGTGATAAGATCAGTTCACGTATAGTGAAGGCCAGAGCGGCTCATACCAATCTGGTCCATCTTTGGCGCTTTCATAATGATACCCTGGTTTTGAAAGGTCGAATCTGCGACGCGTCGGTGAAAGCTTTTTTACTCTATGCTTGTGAAACCTGGCCTCTTCGGGTTGAGGATATCGGATGACTTTCTGTGTCTGATCATCGTCGTCTCCGAAGGAATGCTTACATTCAGCGGCAGCATCATGTTAGTAATGCAGAGGTTCGGCATCATATGTTCGGGTACACTGACGATAGTTCGATTGGTGTCACCTTGAAACACCGACTTCGGTGACTTGGATATGCCCTACGAATTCCACATCGTGGATTATTTGCCGACGTTGGGATTGGTTGGGAGAAGCGAAGAGGTGGTTAGTGCGCGAAATGGTGTCCTGGTATGAAAGAAACCTATACGGTGCATATATATATTTCAGTATCATTTGTAGCAATGTTCCTGTGTTTAAATAAATCAATAAAACACGAAGACTAACTCAGATTAGGGATAGTGAGATTTTCTCATATGTGGTTCAAAGTAAATATAGCTTCTACTTAAAAGCAATCTTAATTTATTGTTACGCACACTGTTAAAGCGATTAAAAGCCAGTCTTTCGCCTACACTGAAATTATTATCAATCTTGCTGATCTAATTAGCAGGAAAACAATATTTAACCGCCATCTACTGATCTCGGAAATCCTTAGCTGAAGCAATTTATTGTGACCATATTGAAGGCTTATGTTTGTTAATCCTTTTGAGTGACTTTAGGATCATGAGCTATGTGGTTTTCGAATTTGAGATATCTATTCATTACATACCTGACGACAGATTCTGTCGTATATGGCTTTAGTACTATTCCGAAGTTCTTGTTGCTTCTCACATCTCGAGGTAAGAACAATTTAATAGGTGTTATCAGTAAGATGTTATCAGCCCATGAGGTTACTGCCTTCCGTTTTACGTTATATTGAGAGATTTTAGCTTTCTGGTGTAAACCCTAGTGATATTCGTTATCTGTCGTTGGACATCGAGTGGTTGGTTTTATATTTATTAACGCCGAGACGATTGTATTTGTTATCCGTTTTATAAATTTTCCCCGCAGTGTTACTTTTTAAACTTCATTCTTCGATCCCACTAGTCTCTTTTGAACTACATCTCTTATGTTTAGTGTCCCACTGCTGTAAATACTATCATTTCCACTTATTGACCTTTCGTTTTATTACTTTTCTCTCTGTGCGGTGATATGAGGTGTGGAGAATCAGACTTGTACATGTTTTTCTAGGTCCTACTTTTTGTATGCATGATCGATTATTTTGTTCATATTTGTGCTTTCCAACTCTCAGTCATGGAATTCGTACATGGTAACTAGTCCTTTTGGTTATATTTGCCGCGACTGTTCGCTTGTATTCAGTTTGCGATGTCCATGTTTATTAAATGTCGTTTAAGCTGTTGTTGTTTAAGCGCTTTTTGAAAGATAATAATGAAATAATCACGTACAAATGTGTTCATTTATCTCTTGTTCAGGCTTGGTGATGATCTTAATGCTCCCCTCCAGGTCGAGGCAAATACTGCGAGCGGTTCCAGTACAAACGATGTCTCTGAAAAAAACGTTGTTGTAAAAATGTGGCGTGACGGTTTTAGTTTAGACAGCGGGCCGTTACGTTCATATACTGATCCAGATGCTTCTGAATTTTTGAATGCAATACAGAATGGTCAAATCCCTGAAGTTAGTGTCTTTTGTTAGGATTACTCGTCTTTTCCTTTTATCATGTTTATTATTTGACGTTGGATGAAATTTCATACTTTTTTATTAACATCGGGATTGTAGAAATCTGAAAGTAGAATATCTTTCTTTGTCATTATCTAGCAACATAGTAATGTGAGAAGAATTTAAGTAGTTATATTTCCTTAATATGTTGACTACAAATGTTGATAATGAAATTCCTTGAGAAATGCTCTCAGTATTCAGCTGAAACGAATAGACCCCTTTGAAAACAGAGCGTATTTGTAGGTTACTAGCATTTGACCATAGGTGTCTTCAAAGGATTTCTCGTGTATTTTGGGACCATCAAGTTAGCAATTCTGAGGTTAGATTCAGAGTGCTAGATAAGTATAACAAATCAGCTGATGAAGTAATAAATCTTTATCAACTAAGATGGTTGTGACTTATATGATGTACTACCATTCACCGACTACCTCAACACACATTGATGACTGATGTAAGAATATATTGGGAGAAACTTAGGAGTGGATAAACCAAAACATGTGATCATTCCATAACTACGCTAGCTCTTGGTTTGAGTCATGTTGGTAGGTGCAGATTACCTGGTCGAGGGGTTTGTGCAGTCATCGTAACCGGTGATTAGAGACTTTGGGCGATATGGCTCAAAATCACTCGCAATGGCGCAGGCGTATTCAATCTTCGCCTTATCTTAAGTCCCACGTTTGTAAATTCTTTCTCGAATTATATCTTGTATTAATAATCTCTTCTACTACCATTAATAGTGTTTCTACCGTTACTACTTTGAGATTCGCCCTAACAATTTCATCCTACTGTGCTAATAGTGTATGGTAACTTGGACCGGTATACACATGTCCCAGGTTTTACTTTGCGTTTGACTTACCGACTCAATAGTTTTCGAAAAAAAGCTTGCATTAGTTTCGTGCACACGTCCTCCTTTGTCAAATACGTCTTCTTAAACGCGACGACGTTTTAGTATACATCGAAATATAACAAAACTCTATACATATAAGGATATAAAACAGCGTAAGGCAACGACAGTTATGTCATTCAACTATTCTCCCAAACTCTAACTTTAATAGTTCATAATCTTGGCGTCATTTATGTTGGAAATAATTCTTATCTAGAAAATTACAAATATATACATATATTCCTTGATTGCGTCCATATTTTTAGTGTCTGTTGAGTGACTCCAATATGCACGAATGATAATGATACCAATCAAATGTATATCCCGCGTAACTTCGTGTATATTCCGTCAATATATCCCGTTTATAACAAATAAGATGTAAAAAGTCAAGAACAAAGGTATTTGAAGAACGTGTGTTTCAAACGTCCTAATATTGAGCTGTAGACAAGCAACAAAAGATGCAGCGATTGTGTGTAGCATTGGAGTTTGGTAATATACCCACTCAGAATATTAAGGTGACTCTGTTTTTATAAGTCATGAAAGAAATACAGGAAGCGGATTGATAAATAGGTGCTACCATACACACGCATGAAATACGATCAAGTTTACACCTGAGTAACTGTTAGGGGCAAATATTTGGCTGACAGAATAAATGGGAAGATTAGAATAATCCACCTATACAATGTTTATAATAAATCAAGTAGGCGTGTTACAATACTAATTGTAACAACTTAGCCGAACTGTTCGGTCTAAGGTTGGGATAAACCAATTATGGTTTTCAGGGTACAGTTTAATTATTGTTGATTTAATAGTTGTTCAGTAGTTTGTCACCATGGCTTTGATCTGATTCGAGATCGTAGTTGTATAACATTTACTAAATGTGTGATCACCTTACATGTAGACTCTTTAATTAGGTACATAAGTGTAACTGAATGTTGTTCTCTAGTTGATTATGGAAAACTTTATTGCCTGTAGGAACTTTTAAAATCTGCTGGTGGAAGTATGGTTAATGTTATGCTCGAAGATCATCACCATGAAGGGTGGCAGGCTCCTTCTACTCCTAAGATCATACCTTTTTCTGGCGTAGGACAAATGCTTGGTTCTCCGCTTCCTCACTTAGTCTCAAGCGTTCCAACTAAAGTCAATATCAGTGAAAACCATGAACCTGGTGTTACAGTAGACGATACCAAACCGGTAACACAAATTCAGATCCGACTACCTGATGGATCGAGGTAAACCATTTATTGTATGCTATATAAAAGTACTAATAAGTTGTGTCAGTAACATTTAGTATCTCATTAATAACGTCTAGTAGAATAATTTTGATTGGATCTTTGAAAGTTATATGTAAAATCTACTCTGCTCTATTTCATTTATTATTTGGTTTTTATGGTCTTAAATTAATTCCAACGCTTTCATGAAAGATACTTGTACCCCGAACTGGAATGTATGAAACCAGATTTCATACAAATAGTTATTAGCAAACACTTGAGTATCTGACAGTATGCTTCATGTGGAAAATGGTATTGATTTTTGTAAATAAACTTAGTTTCATGAAATTGATTGAATACTAAGCTTGTATTCCAATTAGCTTATATAAGCCAAATCCATCGTTTATTACTTATCTTGTCGTATTTAAATAACAAATAACTTTTTTAGATATAGAACTTATGTGTGAAACATGAAAGAATAAATGACCACTTGGTTAATCTATACTTCAAAATCATACGAATTACCTTTCTTTGAACTAATGTTTTTTACTACAGGTATTAGTATACTGTGGCACACTTCTACCATTTAGATATTTATTTTATGATCAGACCGAGGCACAACAGCAGTCTATAAAGCTACAAAATATCAGTTCAAATAGTAATTTGTAGACCAATTCAGGTTGATTCACGAATGCCCTGGTACGGCCGTGTTTGGGAAGAGTCAGCTCTCCCTCTCGAAATGCTCTCACATAGCCACGCGTATACATTCACCGTCAGGGAAGTCCTACTCACTGCCTTCTCATGGCGGGAGTGTTGTTTACGAAATTGAGAGGGTGGAAAGCGAATTTGCTGCGCTTTAACCGTGTTGATGGATACGGAGAGTTCACCTAGGGGAGTTGGAAAATCCTGATTCCTAACCATTAGTGCACGTGGACTCCAGTATCGTGTGAGAACAAATGGCGTATGAACCAATTGTTGGTCACCGGCTACCATGGGGCTGCATCCCCTGAAGTTGCTCCACCGCCTTGTGCACTAGACTTTTAGGTCAAAGGCTCGGAGAATGGTCCCTTAAAAAACCACCTGCTTCGGTTTGGGCATCCGGACAGTATTCCAGCCTTCACACAAATTGAATGATTTATGTGTCTCATAAACATTTGGTGCCTCCTTGTATCAATGTTTATGTGTTTAAATAAAATAAAATAAAAACGTAATCGTTCACCTAAACATGTATGGCTCTCTAAGAATATCTGCAGAACAGTTCATTTTTTATTTCATCATCAGTTTTCTTTGCATAGATACTTATGTCTTACTTTTAGTTCCTTCTAGCTTGGTAACCACGAGCTAAATGATGTACTTAATCGTGTTAACTGGTAAACATAGTACTGAACTTTCTGAAGGTCAACAAAAAAGCAATCAAATTAATCGATGGAAGTTCGCGTCTAATGACTTAGCTCATCTTCATAAAAAAGATCAGTGTTATATAACCATATATCTTTGACAGTTCACTGAGTTAAAAATATGTGATTTTTAAGATAACTCAAATGAATATTATCATTTTACTCGACTGAGAACACTAAAAGATGTCGCTCAAATAAGAACAAGGTGTCGGTAGATTTTATCTGTTTATGTAGAATACAAAACATCATATAGCGGGGTCGTCTGTCATTATGCTATGACGTGTTCCTAATATTGTCTCAATCGGATCGGTTTGGATTGCCTACAAGACCTTTATCAACAAATGATAATTCAGAAGATTTTTACTCAAAATCAAATGTCATAAACTAACTATTTTTGTCCTTGTTTCGTTTTATCCTGGCTTTGTCTAACTATGCTCACAGAACATCTAGAGATGGCATCATCAAGAAGGAGTAGAGACGATTAGCTAGCTCTAGCTGATACAATTTCAACTTAGATACAAAATGTTCTTGAAACTTGATCTTTTACTGTTTCAGATTTGTGATCCGTCTAAACAATTTTCACACAATTGGTGATATCAGAAGAGCAATCATCAGGTAGTTTTGCTGTTTTTTTGCATTTTGTGTTATATGACTTATAAGTAGCTTAAAAATTTATAAAACATTTATTGTTGGAGAACAGTTTTTTGTCAATTTCATTATGCTCTATGAACTTTTTTTACCATAGAACAAATTGTTTACTTTAGTTTAACAATCTATGAAGACCATTTGCAAGTGGTGTTTCCGGAGTTACATTTACCTCAATTGTGATATGAGAAAATCTGAAGTATTTGTTGATTTTAGGTAAAAAAAGTTTTTTACCAAATGGTAATAGCTTTTGTCTTCAGTATTCTTTGTATTCTGTTTCATTTCCTCACCACTTTAGGGTTCTACAAGTGCCCTGTCAATTTATAAATTTCATCCATGACACAAATAAACCGAAAATGCAACGTTCAGACTGATTTTCCGCCTTCTTGTTACCGAATTTTCGATTGAGTTGTGGCCATTAAATAAATTTGACGCCTAATATCTGCTTTTGTACTCTGACGTAATTTTCTTTTCCAAGGATCTTTTTCCATGAGTATATTTCAACTCGTATGTTAATAAAATTACCCAGCTAACAAAGTATTTTTAACATGTGATTAGCACTATTTAATCAAACAGTGCAATATTTATCATTACGTTTCTAAGTTAAGCTAGTTATTCCCTCCCATCATAGTAGGAGAATTCTATTGGTCGTCTAAAAAAAAAGAAGAGGCTATTTGTCACTGGAGAAAGCAAAGTAAACGAACTGGTTACAGTTCATATTGCAGTTTTTATGCATATTTGAGGATTTTTATATTATCACTGAATTAATTACTTCACCATATTATGCATAGTGGGAAGCATAGATGACTAGTAATCTTTTTATTTAATTTGTTTCATCGTTTTGAGTACATGAATTTAGTGAATTATGCTTTCGTTAAAATAATTTCGACTTATAAAGCTTGACATATACAAATATACATGATCAGATATGAACTGATGATGTTGAATGGGAATTATGATAAACTCTTTGTAATTAAAAGATTATGCGTTTCAGTATATGTAGTTCATTGTAGAATTTCATGACAATCACTTATTGTTTTATTATGGTTTGATCTAATATACATTTTCTGTAACATAAAACGATTAGATTAACTAGACATACTTTTTAATACGTGTTATTTTAAGACTGAATGCTTTATTTTCACATCATATAGCACGGAGTTACATAATTAATACAAAGTATCGTTGTAATGATCTTTTATCATCTTTTAAATACAAATGTTTAATACTATTTATATGAACTAATTATATCACAGATATTTAGCATGAAGTTTTTTTTCCGAATACTATATTACTAGTATCTAAACCGTGAATTACACTACTAATTAGATGTATATATATATATATATATATATATATATATATATATATATATATATATATATATATAATCAGGTGTATAATTATTCATATGTTTACCATCGAATATGATCATATTTATTCTTGGCTTTCTGTTTCTGTCTACAAATACCGTTTATAATATATTCTACCTGATGATATTTTCATACTTCCACTATTCCCTCCCTTGTACTTTTTCTTTTCCTTTGACACAATATTTAAAATAAGTTCAAATATCTTATTTTCAATTATAATATTTATTATTTATTTATTTATTAATAACTATTATCATTTGTATAATTGTAATTGAACATTTCACCTGTTGTGTTTCCTTTTCTATTTACATAATATTTTGATATTTCTAAATAGTTCATTCATTTGAAGTTATTTATTATTATGATTATTATTATTATTATCACTAGGGTATTCTCTTTTTTTGTTGAAGTCAATTAGCCTTTTTATTTTTCCTTACTATAACTTCTTCATTATTCTGATCATAAGTGTATGATTATTTTAATTCAAAACTGATCAAGACGTCATTATTATTGTTATTTTTTTAAAAAAAAATATTACTAATACCTATTAAAACGGGTATATTGTTGTTCTGTCTGACACACGTATAAAAAATATAAAATTACAAAACAAACATTGACTATTCTCTCAATACATTTGTATTGTTCTAGTTGTTATTCTTATTATTGTTTTTAAAATTAAAATCTCTTTGTCTGATTATCCATTTCTTTGATTATGGATATAATATATTTTGATATATTTGAAAGTTTATCTTTTCATATTGATAATACTTAGTTTTTTCTTCTTTTTTGATACAATATTTACAGTATTGAATGTATCAGTTCGATTTTAACTAATGGACTGATATACGAATATTCGTCAAGATTAGAATGTATAGTTTGACAGAAATTGGGCACCGTTTAAAGTGAAGTCATTATATGTGAAAATTATATTTGAAATAATCTCAGCGATTGAAAAAACTGAGATTATTCAAAATATAATTTTCACATATAATGAACCGATAATTTGAATGATCAACCAGAATTTCATAAATTTCAGCAACTAAATAGTGATATAATGAATATCACACAAACAATACGTTTCAACGTATAAGTCAATTACCAATTAATATAACTCAAAGTTGAACTTAATCTACATAAATAACTGATAAATTCTACATCGTTTCTATGTAATAAAAATTAACATTTAATCATCAAATCATGATCATGTATATAAAGACAACTAGTTTTAATTACCATAAAGATACTTCTATCAATAATATATGTATATCATCAATAATTCTAATTTCACTTTGTTTTATAACTCACACAATTGTTATTCACAAAATGTGTAATGAAGTAACAGTCAAGTAAATATTTAACTTTTCTCTCAAATTTATTTTTTTAAAAAAAAGTAATATGTTGTAATTTTATTTAAAATGAAAGAAAATATTTTAATCAGTAAGAAAATTAGCAATCAACGAGTTTGTTACTGTTTAATGAATACTAACAACAGTAACGTCTGTAATCTGTTACTCTTTGTTTTATTATCCTGATGTAGTAGTTGGATTACAATTGTCTGTTGTTGTTGTTTTTTTTTCTCTCTCTTTTTTCCATTGCATCATGTCGTTTACTTTCATTATTGATAAGTAAAATTGAACGTGTATTATGAGATCAACTTTCTACATTTATAAACGTGCACTCCAGCTGTGTTATCTATCTTAAACATTTTCGAGATGAAATATAGAAAAATTTAATTAAATTTTTTTCTTGTCTAGTAAATTCTGAAGTGTAGAAAAGGAAATTCAAAGTTAGCATATTAGTTACCATTCATTTATTAATTTAGACTGTAGTTTTACTAAGATTTTACACAGTACGATCTTTCCTGTATTCGGCTTAATGATTAGTAAGTCTATGTAATACCATTGTATACAATATAAGTCTAAATTCATTCATTCTCACAACTTGGTATTCTGATAATGAGTTTAAAATTTTCTGTTTTTTTGAAGCTCCAACCGTAAATTCTTATTGATTGTTTGTTACACTGTATATGATTTATATTTTGTAATTCATTGTTTTTATACTTCGTTATTGAATTTTCGTTGTGCAGTGTCATTTTAACCGTAGGTTTTTCTGTTATACGAGAATATAGATTTGATTTTATTTATGTCCACTGTCAAATTTCATATTTCTTCCTTTTCATACGTAAAAAATACTGGGTTTTAAGTCATTGGGTGGTAAGCTCGAATCTATTCTACCTAATTTGATTTGGACAAACAACTAACGGCATAAGCCGTCACATATAAAAAATTATGATAATTTTATTTCAGCTTTGCATTGGTTTCTTGTAGATGTTTTATTACTCTTCCTAAAGCAACATTTTCGGAAGATGTTTTCTGAAATTGTAAAAGTATCTTACTATTATTAGGTCTTACTCAGTTATCTTCTATAATTAGCTGCATTACTGTCAAAAATGTTTTTTACGCCTGCTATATTTTGTACAATGGATAGGTCTTTTTAGCAACAAATAAAATGTTTACAATATGTATGTAAAATATTCGTTGATTGTATCAATACAATATATGTACAACTGTAAGAATGTATGTGATTATTTTCTATTCCCAATTACTTTTAAATTATACGGTTTTCTACCTATTTACTAGACTAATATAAAGAGTAACTGTCGGTTGTTTAACAAACATATACTTTGATAATGAACAAGTTTGTTGTTGTTTATTTACTGTTTCTGATTTTGTCTACCTTTGTTAATAAAAGAACGTAAAGTTCATTACATTGCATAACTCAAAGATTATTTTTCATATTTATTATTTTTATGTTCTCATTTAGGGATAGTCGTTCATAGCCTTATTAATACTAACTGATATAATTTTCACTATCTAATTGTACTAATATTCTCACTAGAAAATCGTTTGTCATGTTTCCTAAATTTTAACTGTAATAATAATTGTATAGAGATGAACAAATTCATGAAATAGGAGAATGTTGAGATTGTTCAAATCAATTACTGAGTAATGTGAATGCTTTTGAATGTGACTAATTGTTGTTAGTATATTGACTCCTTGAACAGATGACTTGATATTGTCTCCATTTACACTCTGATTACATTTTGAAGAATAATTTCCAAAAACACGGTTAAATTCTTTGTTAATCTTTTTTTGTAACACGATCTCTTTTCTCAGTCTAAATTTCGTAACTTCCGCAATTTTATATATCAGTAAAATGTTTTTACTCTACATGAAGAAAATTCAACCTTGTTTTTTTTGTTTTGAAATTTCAATTATCGTTATCTATGGTCTATCAAAAGAATGACCTAATATTTCATTGATATAATATGGAATTCTGATGTGTAAGCTGGTGTGATTTCACAACCTCTACATAAAACTATGATTTATTTACTTTTAATACCTGTACTACAGAATTGATAAAAACTTAAACAGTTTTGTGTAATCTTGTTATATGATTGCATATTTTGCATTTCAAGATATCATTATAAGTTCTGTTTTTAGCTTTAACAGCATTCATTGAAATGTAATTATTGCTTGTATGTATATTGTGCAAACTAAATCAAATCAGTGCAAAAATGCAACAAACATTGTCGATTAAACCAGTATAATTTTGTATATGTTGTATCTTCAAGACTTCAGTCAAGTTGTTGTACTCTCTTAACATAATTCTAGACGTGTTTCATAATAATCTGATTCAATGAAGAAAATAATGCGTTCATAGTATGCATTCCATAAACGTTATTATTAAGTTAATAAGTCCTAAATAACACACAACCTATGTTAAATAGGATTTCCTGCGGACTCTCCATCTTCCTAACAAGAAAACCGTGCAGACAATGTCGAATCATTTAGACTAGTGGCCATATGGCAACTTGATCTGCATAATTCAATCAGCACTACGAAAACTTTGCAAATTTACTCGTTAATCAATCGTTGCAGTGATGTCTAGTTCATTGCACTAGTTTTTTGTGATATATATGGCGAGACTATAATTTATGGACGAGTCAATCGGATTTAGGATAACAGGTCTCGGATTTTGGCGCGGAATGCACTCATCCAATTGGCTAAATGGCGTTGTGGCCTTATAGCTGATGTCAGTTCGTGAAGAAAACCCTAAATCTAGTTTCTAACACCTTAACTATCAACTGTAAATCATAATTCTAATTCCTCATACTGGTTTATAACCCTCATTTAACACAAGTAGGTGGACGTTCTCCAAGACAGTTTAGCGTCGCTCAAAGGTCGTCCATATATATATATATATATATATATAATATCCAAGACTATTAACGCATAGTAAAATTAATGAGTTTTTATAAAGTATTATTTTTTATTGTTAAATAAAATTTACTATGGTTCTAAGAATTATTAAAAATTTCCGAGTTTTAAGTTGTGTATTTAGTTATTATTATGTCTGGGTCGAATAAAATTTTGGTGTTAGTTGTACAACGAAGGCACATGGTATTGGGTTTTAATATTTTCCTAACTGCCATACTCAATATTGAATAGGAATTTATGTTTGACTAGATAGATCTCTTATTTCATTGTTGTTTATTGTAAAACAGAACTACAATATCTTAATTAAAGTATTCAGTTTGTTTTTAATTCATTCACTTAATCTTGATTGGAATGTAAATAGATATGAGAATGGTTAACAGTTATTTACTGATTCCACAAATAAATTATAATTTCCTACTTTTCCTCCCTACATACAATAAGAACTTAACATTATTTAAGAATTTTTATTGTCTACATAGTGAAAACAAAAACATTTATTTGTAACATTAGTGTTCAAAATAAATGTTGTTGAATTTTTAAAAAAATCTAATTAAAATTTATATAATTCATTAGAAAAGTGTACTGTCATCCAGTCAGTTTCAAGTCAAGATTTTATTTGAAATCTATTAATACTACTTTGTTGCCAAACTATCCTTCAAACATTCACTTCAGTAAATTTCAATGGTTAAGAGCATGAGACAGTTGAAGCTAGACCACCATGGAAAACCTGGAAGCACTGGACGGCCGTTTCGTCCTATTGTGGGACTCCTCAGCAGTGCGCATCCACGACCTCGCCCCCTGCGAGATTCGAAGCCAGAACCTACTCATGACTCATGATCTTAACCATTGAAATTACTACAATCTCCACAAAAAAACTTCAGTAAATGTGTCTTTTTTTAATCACTAAATTACTTCCATATCTACAATTATTTGGGTTTATTTTAATAGTTATGTCAAGACAATTTTCTGTGTATATGATGTAGTTTCACGAGATATGTACGTTTCACAATTGATTGATCACTGGGTGGTGATCAATGTCATGCTTGTCTAGTCCTTATTAGTGCAGATCGAATGCTATCGATCATGTTGCATACATAGTGCCCGCACTGTCGAGTCACTGTTCAACATACGTTCCTCTAATGATAACTAAATGTTAGCGAGACTGTTATCATCACGGACACGGAAAAAAAGATAACTCATTTAGCATGTACAGATTCGTGAGCTTAGCTTTTATCCACACTCAATGTGTAAGGCCCTCATCCATTGAACAACCGCTTAATTATGGACTTGCATCAGTTAGAAAATTATTGTCAACCAAATAGCACCGAAAAATTGGCAAAAATCAAGTGATAAGCGCTGGATGACATAAACAAAACATGCCCTACTCGTAACAGAATTAAAACCTTACTGCTTACTATTTTTCAATAAAAATTTGGGGATTCTTTCCGAAGCTCTGTAAGTGTTATCGTTACTACGAAGTTCGAAGCTAGTAAATTTAATTTTTCACTGAGTTTTAGATTTTTATTGCTGAGAATTTCAAACTGAAAGCGAAACACCTTTTCAATAATCTATTATTCTCGTTGATTGGTTGGTTGATTTAAACTAACATCGAACTGACCAGTGTTAGAGTAAAGACTCAAAACCCTATTAATTACGAGTGTTGGGTACAGATATATATCTATCTTTAATGATGTAAATATATTCGTGTGTTAAGTAAGTCATGAAGTAATCTTGTTTATCGTTTTTTCTTGCCAAATCAGTAAATTAAGTGTATTACGACTTTATGTCTCTCTCACTACTTTTTTTCAATTGACTTCTAATGGTAGTAAACTATCTATTATTACTCAGTATGTTAAAGATTCCCATTGTGAAAATTAGAACAACACATATAAGCGAACAATTGTTTTCAATTAGATCGTCATCAGGCTTTCCAACGATTAACTATTGATAAGAGTTTTGTTATTATAGTTTATTATTCTTACCACTATCTGTTCACCTGTCTTCGTACTATCAACTTGTACTTTTACCTATTTTATGTGTAGTGACTTATTCTATTTCATTGTGATTATTGACTCATATTGCCTTGATTGGTTTAAAATTTTCGTATAAATATCCATGTATATTAGAGTAAAGCCTGATGACGATCTAATTGAAAACAATTGTTCGCTTATATGTGTTGTTCTAATACTCAGTATGTGTTTTTTCAGCAAAAAATATCTCGTTGGAAAGATTCATAAACGTGTTACAAAACGTTTTTTTCCAATGGAACCTTAAATGTTAAAACTGCAAAATAATTCCAATAAGCTCCTTTTGATTGCAATTAGATGGTTTCATGAATAGATATATGAATTGTTCTCCGTATGTAAGGGTTTAATTCTATTTCTTAACCTCTTAAATTTACTGGTGATGAGTGAATAGACTTCCAATATGAATGAACATTTTGCTAAGAAAAGTATTTATAGATAAATTTCTAAGATGTCTGGTTATAACAGTCACTTCTAGGTTTGCATATTTTCATGTCTATTCAATTTATTTGTGCTGTCAAAATCGGAGTAGTTTATTTCTAATAGCTGGTGATTTTCATCACTGATAATCTTGAAAATTTATATAACTGATCGAACAAAATCGAATATATATATATATATATATATATATATATATATATATATGACTAAGTTGAATACTTTTATATCTGAGATAACCTTTGCTTTATATTTGTTTGTTTCGATAATTGAAGCCAGTGTTTTTTCAAAGGCTCTCGCAACTGAATAAGGTGCGTAGTGTTTGAATGATACTTTTTAGAAATCATATTCTTGTATTTTCAATAACTTAGCGACCTGCTTGAACATCTGGGTTACCTGTTCTTGCCATCTAGATATTTCAACAAGTTATCTGTTTTGTTTTAACGCATCATTATGCCTATTAGTCCCATAGCCTATTCAGGTGCGTTTCTGGAAAGTGTACAACCTTTCGTTGTACAAGTTACAAAAGGCTCAATCAGAGATATCTTGGTTGCTTGGATTATGCAGCCAAAAAATGTACATTATTTTGATGTCGATTTAGTGAACTGCTAACATCTAACTGGCAACCACTCGTTATTTATTGTCAGTATCGACTAAGAAGTAAGAAACGGAAATTTGTAGAATTACTTCATGCTGAGAATTCTATATTGTACCAAAAATATAATACTGAATAAAGCTAATAATAGTAATAGTATTAAGTAATGGGTTTTTCCAAGCGGAGCAGATTGTTGAGTAATTTTATTTTATTTTAAACTTTTTCAAGTTAATAAACTAAAGTTTTCTAGATGCTTTCTGTGGTAAATTTCTGTAAATCCAATAAGAATAGTTCATTATGTACCATTATGTTAGTGATGTGTTTGGAATTTTTAATTTACGTTTATCCCCACTGAAACTGTTCATGGTAGGTTAGTATTTTGCTGCATCAGATTATTATGTGAATAAGACCTTTTTCCAAAGATTTATATTACAAGGTTTTAATTATTATTCTTTAAACACATAGACATTTTTCCATCTAAACTTTATTTTTAATCTAATTGGGTACGAGGTGTAATTTTCACTGTCCGTTACATTCTAGACAAATTTGTCACTACTGAATAGTTGTTATTTTCGGTAATGTAGCATAAATTATTTATTCAGTATGATTTATTTGCCTTTCTTATGGTAATTTGTTTAAATTTGTTCTTTTTTTAATATTTTAGGAACCTTATATAATTGTTTAGCGTATATATTTATAATCTTTATTTTTGGGTTTACTCCCTTCAAAATTTTAGTGAAAGACCAGATTTGGCTTCCAGATTATTTGCATTGATGACATCCTATCCGACTCGTGAGTTAAATGAAGATACACAAACACTAGAAGATGGTGATCTTCTGAATTCATCACTATTAGTTCGATTTATATGAATGATACTTTATTATTGGTTGAATTCACTGTTAATACCATTGTTATTACTACTATGACTACTATTGGTAGCACAATTATCGAATGTGAGTAGTTTTTGTTGTTTATGAAATGCAGAAAATGAACAAAATTTGAGAATATCTAATATATTCTGTAATTTTTCCAACGGTACTTGTGGTTAGTACTTTAATTGTTTTAAAATATTTCATGACTCAATACACACAATTTGTCTTTTTATCATCAAATTTTTTGGTGAGAATATTCAAGGTAAAACCGTTTATCTGTTGGTTTTGTTTCATCATTTTTATGCATGTAAATCTGTTCTTTAATCAACTAACTTTCACGACAAATGTACACCGTTGTTTGTTTGAAGATGAATTGATAACAAATAAAGAATACATTTATATATGCATTAATACAAAGTTTTCAATCCTTTTTCTCTTCAAATGTTTTTGGATTCTTTAGTCTGGAAATGATCGTCATAATGACGATCTACATAAGTAGTCTTAAGCCGTTTGGGTTTTGTTGAGTGTCTTCAGGCTGCTAGTTCTATAGGTTACGTGCGCGCTTATCTTTTCCCTTTAATCGAAAAGAACTGGGTTCAAAGCTTGATGGTAAGATTATTTGATTTTCTACCGGTAAACATTATTTTGATTTAGACAGGATGCTGTTATCACCTTAATCTGAGTTCACAAACTCATACGTTTAAGCGAATTCACTATATGTATAAGGCGACCTGCTTGAATATCTGGGTTACCTGTTCCTGTCATTTATATATCTCAATAAGTTATATGTTTCTG